CTTAGCGCCGACCAGCCAGTCGATCCACGATAACAAAGCAGGGTCTGAAGTGGATATGCTAAATAGACGGTACGCTTCATAAATGCCGTGATTTGGTTACTGCAATATTTCAAATTAAGGTAGCATATAATTTATATAATCGCCGCCTTCTTAGCTCTATCCTAAAAATATCCAGTCAACCTCCAGGATATGTGAAACAGCTTTGGTTTAAGATCGTGATTTACTTAACTGTTTTTGACTCAATTCTGACCTGGTTCCTTAAAGACAGTTCTTCACAGATGCTACCTCAGGCCAGAATAAAATAAGTTTACAATTATTAATAACAACGGGGGTCGATTAAGTGGTTTCTCGCACGGACTGTTTCCGGTTATTTAGAAAATCTTGAGATTGCGCTAAAGGTTAAAGAAAATCTCTAAAGTTTTTTTTCTAAAGCAGCATCTTAGACTTGTATCGTTGTCCGCTTTGCACGTCATTGATAAACAGTTTGTTTTTAATGGTTCATCTTCTATGTCATTGTAACTGCGCGAAAAATTGATCTCTAATAGCAATTATACATAGACCCTTTTGCTAAGCACAAACTGGCCACAGCTTAACAGAACTGCTGTCTATTTCGACATCCTTCGTCCCCCCCTCTCTGGGCCTACATCTGTGTAATAATGTAATACTCCTTACTGTTCGACAATATAATGAAATGCTTTAATTCTTCAGCAGCAAAAAAAACTTATGAAGCTGACTAAAGAAAGGTGTGTATAGTCATGAAGAGCCTGGACATTAAACGATTCGGTTGAATCAACCTTTGTTAATGAATTTTAACAGGACTGGCCAAAAATGAGTAAGAACGAGAATTTTTATCTCATAAACCTTAAGTATTTTTTACACATCTTCGCTTGCTAATGGTAAAGCTCCGCTTTACAGGTTACGCTTGCCTTGACTAAAAATCGAAAAAATTTAAAACATCGTTTCCGTCGCAATTAGCAGGCCAGTAAGCAGGTCTTTAATTTGAGACCGTTTATCTCTTCACGTCCTGTCATGAATTCATATCGTGAAACGAAATATTCACCTTTGACGGCAAAGATGAATTAATCATCAGTAAATGACAGGGCACCAGAGTAGACCTCAGCTAATCGCTGCGTTTATCAGCGAACAAACATATCTGTGCGAAGTCATCCTACGGCCTAACAAAAAAGCACTAAGAGAAAGAAATATTCTGTTGAATGATGGAGACTTTAGCACTTATCAAAATGCCATATTTCTTGTACAAAACTGGGCAACCCAAGAAGGCAACCTACAAACGTTCAAGGACAACAAGTCAGCGAAGTTACTATTAACCATGCGCTGTAGCCGTTTACTTCCCTTAGGAAATTCATGAACGAAATATGTGTGTATAATTCTTCAACCAGAATATCGTATAACCCAGCAGGAAAACTGGGGCGCCATCATTCCTAATGACTTGAAATGGTCCTTACATATGCAAATAATGTATTCAATAAAGCACTGGCGTGCCTCTAACTATATGAAACCTGACTACAGCTCGCGTACCAATGATTACTCCAAACCAGTTCATTACTACAACTTTAACGTATGCTGGATCAACGGTTTTTGCTATCATTCTTAATTCCAATTTTCGCATAGTTTAGCCAGCAATCAGAATCATCAAGAATATCAACGGCAAAGATTCCAGATTCCTAGCGAACAAGATCGTGAATTAAGTAATGACTAACAAGACCAGTTTTAGTTGTTCGATTGTCGAAGAACACTAGCTGAGTTTCAAGACATCAGGCCACCAGAAAGCATTTTATACGCATCAGTGCAAAACCGAAAGACACGAATACTCCGTGATCCACTCATTGCAAGTACGCTATGCAACACTGAAAACAAGAGCATATTACTCACGGAAGATTTTGTCTTAATTCCTTCTGTTCCCCTTATTCACTTACAATTGGTAAAAGAGTCAGAATAAACTCTTTCTTCAGGGGCAAATAAATCTGATGATGATTAAAATGACCTCTAACAGGAGGCAAGGCGGAAGAAACGTAAAGGAAATCTAACCTGTTTTCGATGAATAAAAGTATTTTCTTTGTCAGCGCGGTAAACACCTCCTCATACTATGATGATACACTGTTGAGCAGAGCAGCCATTTAGAATCTTATGTAGCTTCAACTCAGCTAATTAGCTAAAAGCTGTGAAATCCAGAATTCAAGGCAAATTCTTAAGGAATAATCAAAACATGGCGTAAGAACGAAAATTTACATAGAAGAAAGGGCAACCAGTGACACCAATGAAACACATATGTACTGGGTGCCGGCAGCACTGTAAACGACTTTGCTGCATATCAGATGAACTATGAACTTCAGTTCTTCTTCGCTGAATCTGAAACAATGCAACAGAATCAAACAGTAAAATTTCATAGCCGTAGAACGCAGAGAACTTACCGCCAACCGCCGGTATACTTTAGCTGAAAACACAGTCGAATAACGTCAGCACTTTGCTGAGCGTCATAACATGTCAAAGTTTCGTCGTGCGAAGCACGGCATTTCACTAACAACGTCTTGATTTCGCTATTTATTCTGGCCTTCAGATTCATAAGGGTGTCGCGTAACATCTCGTCAGCCGACGCCTAAAACTCACAAAAACAGTTCGCTGCTTTTAGCCCTGTTGCTGTTGCAACGGTCATTATTATGACAACCGCCATATGAATTATCAGCGATTCAGAAATAGCAGGTGCAGAAATAATCCTGCGATGAATAAGAGATCAGCCTAGCGAGTGAAATGAAAAAGTGCATTCAGTCACAGAAGGTGCGAAATTATCACTGGTGACCACTCTAAGCAAGTAAGAGAAAAGGGGATGTTTTAGTCACACTGCTTTCTAAAATATCTTAACTTGTCGAGCAATCCTTCTAGAGATTTCCGTTGTGATGATCTTGATAATCTGCCGATATGCCAGAAAAGAAGCAAACGAAAGGCCGAAGTAGGCAGACAATAAAGAAGAAAAGGATCTGTCAAAATATGATACGGCAAGCAATTCACATTTTTTGCCTTGAATTCCAACATGACTGGCATGCTTGATTGGTGAGAGCTGAGAGTATTGAGAACAAAAATTATGAAGCTGCTGCCGAAAGAAGTAGGGAGCAGTGAAAACAAACGACTCAAGACACGGGCGCTGTCTATTATGGTTTGTGATCCGAATGTTGAACGGAAATTTGCGCGAATAAACAGAGGATTTTGCACAAGTCGCAGCAGTGGCAATTAAAATTACTAAAATGAATAATTTCGAGTCTAACGGAATTCATAATAGAATAATTTTAAAAAAAACATTAAAGCTAAAATTAAACATAAGTAAACCTTCTGCGACGCATGAACAAATCGAGTGAACCATGAGCGACCGTAAAACTTTTCGTCTAGCAAAATACTGCTCAAGAGCGTGGCCAATGTTCTGAAACTGCAGCAGTCGACGACCAATGACACCATGAGCATAGGCAATTTCTTCAAATTTACCTAAAGAAGTAACGACGTTTCCAGCAAACCAAGAGAAAAGACAATCCGAAGAAATGCAACTGTGTGGTCAATACATTAGAGGAAAAAATAAGTATAAGCAACGTTGAATATTAAATGAATGATCCTATAAATTTATTGCATAAACCGAAATCCAATCTGAAATACAACAGAGCGTATTTTCCTCTGCAAGCATTACGAGATCCATGAAGGCTTGTCAAAAATGATGGTTGGCTAGCGATGGAACCGTAGACTAGGTTGATAGGTTTCCTAATGTGTGAAAACTGAATCAGTTTTACTGTCATAGAAAGATATTACAACTTGATTTAAAAACTTCGATCATGGGTACAAGCGGCTGAAATGTGCTTTCTAGACAAGTTGCGCTGGCTTTACGCGTCTCGACATGGTCCGAAATAAAGACAGTCGCGGGAGCCTTGGTGTACAGCCGCTGCTCAATCAGATTGAGAAATCACAGCTGCGATCGTTGGGCATGGGCATGTTGCGAATGTCTCCAGAAAGGAAGACTAAGCTACTATTACTTGCCCAGCCGACCGGTAGAGGCTCCAGAGGAAGGCCAAGATTAACTTGGTGCAAATATATGGAAGGAGTCTGCTCCAGATTGAGTTATCTTCTGCCGAAACTCAGACACTGGTTCGGCAACATTGGATGCACTGTCTGACGCGTCTGCCTACGCGACTCGAAAGGAGAAGCGGCCATAGAAGATGAAGATGAAAGTGAAGATGAAGAATCATATTACAGGGATTACTGTCTGCATTTGTTCCTGAAAAAAATGACAAACCGCCGTTGTACAAGCAAATAAACTACGGTTGATTGATCTAAGAAAAGAAAATTTTACGAATCGCAGGAACTTCATGAAATCTTACTGAAGAAGGTCATGAACTAGCAAAGACAAAGCATAAAATGCCAGTAGAATGCTATCATCTATTGTATTGTTTTTAGCAGAAATTCAGAGCAGTTAAAGTATCTCTTTTTGTTAATGAACATGAATAATGTAGAATAAACATTATAAAACAAAATCATCAACTTACGCATTGAGAGATAATCTCTGTTACACAATCAGGATTCATCGAATGAAGAAGTCGAATGGCGCTGTTTCGCTGTTTGGAGATCGTACCGCATTTTTCGATGTGTTCTCCTTTTGATATAAGGCTAGTTAACACTAAAAACAAACATTATTCACAGAAACAAAACAAAAATGTTCAACAGAGAGAAGAGG